GAGATCTGCCTTTGTTGGAGGGATGAACTTGTTTGCTCAGCATATGGACTAAATTTGGATGAGCTTTTATTGCTTGGAGCACTGAGCTCAATATATATTAGAAGAAAAGAATTCTACTATTTGGTTGAAGAAAACAAATAAAGATACGAAAACGCCCATATCTGAGCCATATCAACTCTAATTTTATCCCATTTGGCAAAACATTATTAGAAGAGTATTGCTAGAAAGGGCATTCAGTTAGTTATTTAGGGTGTCTTTTTAAAGCCTTTGTTAACCTCTCACCTTTATTACCAACTCATTGTCGCGTTCCATAATCACCCACGAAAACTGGAGGCTCTTTCGCCCAACTCATTCCTGTTCGTCATCGCAATAGCCTGCACTGCAAGTAGAGGAAGCAAAACTGAAACAACTTTTGTTATTGACTTCAAATTCTAACATCAAAGACTCATCCCACAATTTTAAGTTACAAAAAATATAACGATTTTTAGGTTGTCATAGAAGTTGAAAATTGATGTCTAAGCACTGTTCTTATGTGTAAAGGGGTTTTTTAATTTTGTCACCCAAAGATCCACGAAGTGACCTGCATTTGTAGCGCAAACTTCTCTAATAACCCAAGGAAAAACTACAGTTCTCAAAGTTGATGCAACTTATCACACGAGAGGGGGGTAAAAGAGGTTTGTTTACTTCACAAATTATGAACAGTTACATTCTCAAATAACACACGCATGCTGGTGCAGTCTGAATAAAAGAATCAACTCAACCGTAAAAGACGATCTCACAAGGTAATTATATATTTGATTACAAGGGTACGTTCAAAAGAGTCCAGACTCTCTTCTCTCCACCGCATTCAAGAGCAAAACTCTATTTTCCTATATTTCCGCGTAAATGTATTTTCAATACACAAGAGTAACAAATCTTTGTTACATATGTCGGGAAGAAACAAAAGCCAGAGTCAAGCACTTAGTACATGTAGTCTTGTGTTTCGTTGTCATCAAGCCGTCGAGCTGAATCATGCCCTTCCCCACCGAGCACTCTCTTGCTCATGTTGGCTCTCTGCACCAACCGAACCAATGCTTGCACGACCTCTGACATGGGTGGTCTAAATTCTGGCTCCGACTGTCATAACAAAGTTACTTGAGGTAAGAAATCCAATTATTTCAAGTCATGATAGCAATCTCCATATAAAGAAAAGGTAAGTGCTGTTAGGATATGAAGTTTTAACTTTTAAACACTCAAACCAACTTCTGAGTTTTGGTGCAGTAAAGGAGACTTTAACACAATATAAAAGAAATCCAGGTTCAAATTTTCTAATCTGTGTATTTAAACAAATGCAGATATTTCTGACGTGAATTCAGATTTTGAAACTTTGAACCCTCAACTTTTGTTGGGGCCATATTAGGATATAAATTTGTAACCTTCAACTTATACCTTAACTTGAGAGTTTTGGTGCAGAGTGGAAGGGACTTGAACAACCTATGATTAAACTTTCAATTGGGAGAACATGTGATACCTGAACACATAGGGCGATGACATCAGCAAACCGAGAGAGAGATTTTGCAGGGTAGAGTCCCTTTAGAGACGGGTCAACCATCTTGTCCAATGCATCAATGTCATGGAGCTGAGGAGTTGCCCATCGGACTAACGACTGCTCTGACCATGGCCTTGTGCTGTTATACATTTACCCATAATAGTTACAAAGGGCAATCATACAAATAAAAAGTTCCAACTTGATGATTATTAATAGCTGGGATTGTTCAAAAGTTGACACTGAAATTTCTTATATGATGAAAAATTACCTATCAAAAGGTTTTCGCCCAGTTAAAAGCTCAAGCATGACCACACCGAAGCTGTAAACATCGCTCTTGAGTGTGTATTGACCAGACATGGCAACCTCTGGGGCACTATATCCAGATCCCATATTATGATCCAATGCCTGTTGAAGGAAATGGGAATTTACCAAAAAAATTAGGGGGGAAATCAAGCAATGCTGATTAAAGTATTCTTTATTCAGGACGGTAGTGAATATTTCAACGATCAACAAGTCATGGGGTATATATCCCTATAATTAATATAGCATAGTAGCTTAACAGTTATGCACATATCTGAAGTTTAACTCTAAACTATATCTAAACCTTTTTGCTACATTTAGTTGTGGAACTTTCCAAGATACTAGTAGTAACTTTCCAAGAGACTAGTAGGAACTATATTCATAAGAGAAAAAAGATCACCATTTGTGATGAAGTAACGGGGTGAGGTTAAAGTATTAGTTTGCTTCTAGAGTATCTAAACTTAGAATTAAAAGGGAAGTTACTCCCCCAACATATTCAGGGGAGAAATGTGCATTATACTATTTTCAAAAAGATTACTAAATACAAAACAAAAATTGTTACTGTCGATTTGACAATGTACCTTAGCTTGACATTATACTCTACTTAGTTTGCTAACCTAGAAGAATCCTCCAGGAATCAGGTCATGACTTAATAATCTGGCAAATTGGATCATGAGTCACATTGTGGATCATAAGATCCTACTTGATTTTAAAATGATACAAAACTTAAAGAAAGTACACACATTCTAAAATTTTCTTTGGTTTGCTCTGTGATCATTATGCTCTTGTTGCTCCAATCCTCACAATTTGGAATGAATTTTACCCTATTTTCTCATTAATATACTAAACGAAAAAGAAAATGGGCAAAAATTAAAGATACTGGACCAGAAAGAATAAATATTTTATTATTTGGTAAAACTACCGTATAAAAAATGAACGATAATTGACACCTAGAAACACAGAAATAGCATTACCTGGTGTTCTGCATCAGGGATCAGACTTGCCAGTCCACTATCTGAAAGGTGAGGGTTCAGCTCCATGTCCAATAAGATGTTGACGGATTTGAAGTTTTTGTGTACAACAGATGGAGAACAAACTTCATGTAGATACCTGGAGATAGCGTTTATTTGTAGCCCCATGAGAAATTAGACAGACTTTTTGTGTTCAACAAGAGCGGATAACAACATCTAGCAATTATATTAACTATCAGGAACAGAAAAAACAAAATTAAGAAAAGAATAGATGATGACCACGCAGTACAAGACTATGATGAAATCCTTGTTCTTACATGATTAAAGCCAAAACTTTTTGTAATACCTAAAGAAAGATTACTAGTCGACTTACTCTAGTGCTCGTGCAGTACCAAGTGCAATCTTGACCCGAGTGTTCCAATTCAAAGGTTTGTTGTATTCATCAGAGAGATGAAGCAGATCATGCAGTGACCCATTCTTCTGAAACTCATAAACTAGTAAATGTTGTCCATGTTCGGAACAATAGCCCACTAACTCAGTCAGATTTGGATGGTGCAACCGGGAGATGTCCGATACGAGATCAATGAAGTCCTCAGAGGAGTTGTTGGGTAATGCAGAAGAGTTTACTTTCTTCACAGCCAGAATCTACAAAAAATACAGACGACAATAAATGTAACTTATTTCATCCCAATTAACTATTTATCTTTAGTTAGCCTCAAAGCCGTATATAAATTACATACTAAGAATAAAACAGCTCATCAAATTAAAGGCTATAAGTCAGTTAAAGAAGTTATAACTATTAGAACAAAATGACCATTTTCTCAAACTGATGCACTCTCAAGTTTGCCCCCTAAAGTATCAATTTGGCCAATTTGTGCCTTAAACTGTGTGTATGTGCCCAATGTAATCATTTTGTGAGCCTACGGTCAAATATTCAATAGATTAATGATGTATTAGTGTTTTTTTGCATTTCAACTAAAAAAATAATTGTTAGTTCATAAAAAGGGATAAAGAGTAATATATTTTTGGAGAAAGTAGTTAACAAATGTTTTTTAGTTTGGACAAAAAGGAGATAAACTGATAAAAGCTCATGAAGAAATATATAATAATAACACTGTTACGCCATTAATCTCTTAATATTTGACTGTACGCTCACAAAATAACCATATTAAAACCGTAAACATAATTTGAGGGGCAAACTAGGTAAATTGATACTTTAAGGAGCACCTTGAGAGTTCATTAATACTTTAAGGGGGAAGTGATCAGTTTGTCCTAACTATTATTCCTAACAACATGAAAAGGAACAAAATAGCACTCCTGCAAGCAGATGACTTAAGAAATGAAGAACGAAATAGAAGGAAAAGTGGGGAAAGAACAAGAGAATGACAGGAAGAGAAAAACCAGTGGTATACGTACAAACTGTTTGAACTGTATAAAACTAAATTCATCAAATTTCCTAACCAAATAGAATAATGGACTAATGAATTGTATCTTCTGATTTCAGCTACTCAGTTTTCTTATGAACTCATGTCATTAAAAAATGCATATTGCTTCTTCTAGACTCCTGAAGCTCAGAGCTATACACTCAAAAGAATGGACCAAAGATTTCAAGTAGAACTAAAAAATTACCTTTCCATCATTAAATTGAGCCTTATATACGCGTCCAATTGACCCTTCTCCAATAAGATTGTCTAAGCTGAAACTATCTGTAGCCACCTGCAGATCTGCAACCGAATATGCTGTTGCTTTTAAAGCAGACGGTTTAGTTTTCCTCACAACAGGCTTGGGAGAGAACTCCTCTTCTTCATATGTTTTGTGCCGGTCAATTGGAGGTGGTTTAAGGTTAATAGGAGCAGCTGGTGGAAATGCTGTTGTGTTAATTGTAGAGGTCGTTTGGACAGACTTCATCTCTGCAAAGTCAGTGGTAGATGATGGTTACCATAAACAATAAAAAACACCGCTATAAAATCCTTCATGCATGGTATTTCACTACTCCGTTGTCTAGTTCTACAAATAGATATAAAAACTAATCACCAAAATGCACCAAAATAGAAGGTCACATTTCCGATTGACCAAAGCCAAACTAAAAGACTAAAATGTTCTAATCAACGAAGGCAAAGTAATTAAGTTCTCACGACTCACGACCTAATAGACAATATAGCCCCCAAAGGTAAACCAATATAAATGTGCAATATAATAGTTATTAGATGGAATATGCATTACCTTTAACTTCATTAGAAGCAAGAGGCGTAAAAGGCTCATCTTGTTCATGATGTTCTCTGATGGATGATTTCTTTTTCTTTCTCCTCACCAAGAAGAATGCTACTATTGCACCGACAACCAAAAGTGATATAATGATACCTGCTATACCTCCACCACCTATACCCGAACTTTTACCGCCTCCATCTTTGGATTTACTTTTTTCACCTCCAGAACTATGACCGGGCTTGACTTTACGGCCTGGTGGAGGGCTAGTAAATGGGGGAGGGGGAGGCGCGGGCCCCGAGCTCCATGAGTTACCATCAGTCCTGTAAATAAAATCCAGAATGTGAGGTTTCAGAAACAACCATTGCCTGAGAACAGTCAAGGATTTTTCTCATATTAGACTCTAATATCTATCCTACTTTATATAGGCCCCCAGGTATTCGTATTAGTAACTTACACCCCCCCCCCACCTTCCCCCAATCCATTAAATTGTTTTAAGACCCCCATTTAAAACAACTTAATGGATTTGGGGTTGTGAATTACTAATATGAAGATTTGGGAGCTTAATACAAAAATAGCATAGAATTTATGGTCTGAAATGAGAAAACCAAATATCTTTAAAAAAATTTGGCCATGCCAGATAAAAATTAAAATTCAACTGCATACAATAAATACTCACTGAAGATTATTTATCTTTTTCAACTTGTCAGGAATCCATCCAGAGAAATGATTATTTGCCACGTTCCTGAATCGTGAGCAAATAATTATTGTATTTTGATATTTAAATTGTTATTTGTAAAAGAATTGAATTGCAGATGCACCTAAATGTGTTCTTACAGATCATTAAGGGGCAGACTGGTAAGAACATTTATGGAACCTGTGAACTGGTTGTTCTGCAAATAACTGCACGATAACCAAATAGGTTATTGTTGATAAAAAGGTCACACTGGGTACTAGGTATTAATACATGAACTGTTCATATTATGCTTACAGGGTAGCTAAGCTCGATAGTGTGCTAAAGCTTTGAGGAAGATCACCTGTGATAGAATTGAAGGACAGATCCCTGCAGTAGGTAAACGAAAATGTTTAGAGGACCAAGAATGAACAAAGCCGAAGAGAGAAGATACATTTTGGGAATATAATGTACCTACATATTAAGTGAAAGTTAAAACACAAAAGAAATTACTGCAGAATCTCTATAGCAAGTTTGCAAAAAATTCAACACGTAGTACATAAGCTACGACCCCTTCGTCTCAGTAACAGTGATTTTGATGTCATAATAACTAAGATAACGATATGATGATAAATGTTTATTAGGAATATTGAAAAGAATGGAATCTTTGGATCTAGTATCACACCTACATTCTCAAGTATATTCTGCATACTTGTGCAAGAAAATATTTGCCCACGAATTTAGAAGA